CCCTGTCTTTCTATACAATCAAAATTTCAGGAGATGCAAATAGTTGTGAGGTTAGGTTCTTTATATACAGAATTCCAATTAATAAATGCAAGAAGAATGATACAAAAAGGCAAGAAATAACACACGGCGAGGAGGTGGAATAAAGGGAACCCTTGTGTAGTGCTGGTAGGAGTGTAAATTGGTACAGCCACTATGGAAAACAGTAGGGGATTTCATCAAAAAAATAAAAATAGAACTTCCATAGATCCAGCAATCCCACTTCTGGGTATTTATCCAAAGAAAACAAAAAAGCCAACTCGAAAAGATACATGCACCTCCATGTTCACTGCAGCATTATTCACAGTAGCCAAGACATGGAAATAACCTAAGTATCCATTAATGGATAAACAGATAAAGAAAATGTGATATACACACACACACACACACACACACACACACACCAGGGTGCCAAAAAAATGTATACAAGCGGACACTTTGGTCAATGTTGCTCAAGCAGTAGTTCACCATAATCAGAAGTGTCTGGACACTGATGGTTACCACTCTGAGCACCTCTTATAATTGCAGAAGTCAAACGTGACTTGCAGTCATCTTTTGTTATTGGTATATATTGAATATTACAATTTTAATAGTTTTCCTTTCTTAAAATGTGTATACATTTTTTTGGCCCCCTCTGTGTGTGTGTACACATACATACACACACACACACACACAATGGAATATTAATTAACCATTAAAAGAGAATGCAATTTTGACATTCGCAACATGATGGAACTTGAGGGTATTAATGCGAAATGAAGTAAGTCAGACAGAGAAAGGCAAACACTGTATGATTTCACTTATACGTGGAATCTAAAAAAAATGAAAGACAAAAAAAAAAAAGTTCATAGAAACAGAAAACAAATTGGTGGTTACCAGAGGAGGAAGGTGCAGGGTGGGCAAAATGGGTGAAGAGAGTCAAAAGGTACAAGCTTCTAGTTAAAAAATAAATAAGTCATGGGGATACAATGTACAGCATGGCAACTATAGTTAATAATACTGTACTCATATTTGAAAGTAGCTAAGACAGTAAATCTTAAAACTTATTACAAATAAAAAAAAAATCCTGCAACTATGTATGGTGACAGATGTTAACTAGACTTATTGTGGTGGTCATTTCACAATATGTACAAATATTGAATTATTATGTCGCACACCTGAAAGTAATACAATGTAGTATGTCAATTATACCTCAATTTTAAGAAAAGGAAAGTATAAACATTAAAAAAAAGAGGAATTAAAGATTTAGATCATCACCATTTTGCAGCCCATAATGAAATGTATCTAGGCTACAACCATCTATGAAGCTAAAATCATTAGGTGAAAGGTTGAGAGGTAAGTTGACTCTATCTGAACCCACTAAACAATCTTAACATCTCAAAAAGAGAGACATCCAGACATCATGTGTCTTGTGATATGGTGCAATAGATTTTATACAGCACCACCTACAAAAGATGCTTGGCTTTGAACTTGAATCTAATCAAGCCTCTACATCTAACTGTCAGATTAGAGGAAATATGGAAAATAACGAAACAACACAACACGTAAGAAATCAGCCCAGGAAGTGGGACATGCTACTGGACAAATGACGTGCTCTCTCCATCAAATCAATGGCATGAAATAAAGAGGCCCAGGGGGTGGGGACAACTAATAAAATAGATTAAAAAACCTAATAACCAAATGCAATGTGTGGACCTTGTTTAGTTCCTGATTCCAACTAATCATAAGTAAAAGGACATCTTTGAGAAAATCTGAATATGGGAATTATATTAAGAAATCGTTGTTAACATTTTTAGGTATAAGAAAGGCAATAGAAGTTGTTTCCTTTTCAAAGAAAAATAAAGTCCTTATCAGAGATGTAAACTGAAACATTTATGAGTGAGAGGACATGATGTTTAGGATTTTGCACTAAAATATACCAGCCCCGACAAAAAAGTGGGGGGGGGGGAATGAAACAAGACTGGTAAAATATTAATAACTGTTGAAGCTTGGGTGCTTATTATACTATTCTCTCACAACCTTCATAACACAAAGTTCTAAAAAAAATGATTATAGGTTTTGGTGAGAATTTAAGCTATGCCTTATCTTACCAATGATTTTTAGGAGACAGCCAGGGTCTTCCCACAAAGCAAAATTTAGTCATTCCCCACTTAGCCTAAAGAGGTGCAAAGAGTCTTAATCAGTGTGCATTTGGAGTTCCATACGATTAGAAGTGACTGCACCAAGGAATCCTGGAGTTCTGCAGTAATAATGAAATATCAGCTTGATTTTTCCCAATAAGAGATCCCCTGCAAGGTATTGGGTTGGGCAACACAGCCCACAAAGAGCTTACTTGATGACAGTTGATATCAGGTTGTGCAGATTTGTGGAAGCCCAAGGCCACATGGACAAGAGCCACAAATATTCCTAAACCAGATGTTGGTCAATACAGAAACTGCAAATTTTCTTACCAACCTGAGTAATGCAGAGCTGGTTTTGGGGTTTGTTTTTTTTTTTTTCAACAAGTGGCAATGAATTTGTGTTAACTTGTCTGTATAATCACTCAGCTGTAATCTGGAAGGGTAGCTCATGAGATAGAAAACTAAAGGTCCACAGAAGGATCTAAGCCATGGCTTGTTTGCATTAGCATCACTGACTAACCCAGGGGCTAAGCCGATGACCCCAGATGCTCGCAAGTTGCCAACTGGTTGGGTACATATTTCACCTGTTTTTCTCTTTCCTTCAAAGCGCTTCTGTTATGGAACGAGTGAAGGTTTGTGTCTTCCTCTCAAGTTAAAGCTCTAGAGCCCGGTGTGATTGGTATTTAGAGATGGGGCCTGTGGGGAGAATGTAGGCTTAGGCTAGGTCATGAGGGTGGGAACTCCATGATGGAATTAGTGGTCTTATAAGAAAAGGAAAAGAGAGAGAGATCTCTTCTTCCATGTGCACTGAGAAATGGCCACGTGAGGACACTGGAAGGAGGCAGCTCTCTGCATGCCAGGAAGAGAGCTCTCACCAGAAAGCAGATCAGCTGGCACCTTGATCTTGGACTTCCTACCATCCAGAGCTGTGAGAAAATAAATTTCTGTTGTTTAAACCACTCAGTCTATGGTATTTTGTTTTGGCAGCCTGAGTAGACTAATCCAGGTACGTATTTCACCATTTGTCTTTCTTTAAGGTTTCTAGTTCTTTGTTAGGAAAGGTTCCAAAATCACAAATGTGGTTCCAAAGCCAAAGGAGGGGGAAATAGTTGAAAATTATGGGTTTCCAACATTGGAAAATTTGACAATCTATTCCCAATAAGAAATTGGCCATGTACTTATGAAATGTGCTTGGAATGTTCCAAAGAGAAGTAAAACAGTATTAGAACCAAAGAAGGGTTAATAAAGTAGGCATTATTTGAAGTAACTACATTCAGAATAATTATGAAGATAAACCTGTATATTGGCAAGGCATACAACATCATGCCAGGTGGAGAGAAACACAAGCCTCCTATACAGATGAACACTACAGATCTACTTACACAGAGACCCTCAACAATTCTCCTCATAGATTGCCTGACTGCCCTCACGTCTTCAGTATTCTGCACCATAAAAAACTGTCAAGGATAATAGGAGCACAATTTGACCTACTTTTCCCTAGATTCCTGCAAATTCTGTAACTCTGGTTCTTGCATATATTTAGTTATCACATCTTTGAGACATATTTCCTCGCTTTTTTTTTTTTTGGCAGGCCATCCTGTATGCCACACGTTAAGGTCACTGGCGGGGAATCTATTTAGATTCCTAAACGCCCATGGTCATGAACTTAAAAAGACAGCCTATCACACCCAGCTAATCCTCGGAACATCCTTCTGAGGTAGATCATATACAGTCACCCCAACATGGGAAAGAAAATGCCTAAGAAAGGAGGAACGCAGGCCCACCGACATCAATTGAGACCCTTTCCTGCCCAAAAGAAGCCACACCAAAACACGTATTTCTCCCTAACTCTCCAGCTTCCACAAACCTCTTTGCAAGAACTAAAAGTCTTACTTTAAGGTATTCTTTACAAGGCAGGCAACAAAGACTTCATTTTTTAAATTATAGCCCCCAAAATCTACCTCGTTGCAGCTTCTCGGTAAAGCCTGCTTAATAATGGGAAATTTTTAAAAATTGGGTAGAACCCACGGAAGGTGCCCCGAAGCCCTGGTGAGCAGGGAGTGGTGAGTAAGTCAGCCAGGGGGCCTGGGCAGGGACTTCTGAGTGGCTAATGAAGGGTGTCAGCTCAGCAGGCCGTCCGGCTCCCCTAACAAACAAAACATGTCTGACCTGCTCAGGCCATCAGATGCACTTACAACCCAATGAGGGGCACTCCTTCACCAGGAAATCCTATCTGAACACATTATCAGGGAGTATTAAGATTTAAGATTCTGGAGGCCGTACCCCCTCCTGCTCAAGGGGGCGTCGCCGAGTACTAAGTGTTGGAGGCTCTGGAACCCAGGAGCTAGACGCTCGCCCAGGAACTTCCAACTCCTGGGTCATCCCCTCGGCGGCGGCGGCGGCGGCCAGAGCCAGCCCCGATGCCCAGAGCCTGAAACGGGGACGTCCAACACAAGCGCACACGTTTGATGCCTCCTGCAAACTGGGATTCTGACCCAGGCTGCAGCTGGGACGTGGCTGGCCGACGGTTAGGCACCGGACACCTGCAGCTTCCCCTCCCGGGAGAGGCAAACGGCCCTTCTTCCGGGGATGCCCACCATCCGGCAGCCAAAATCCAGGTGCCCTTGGGTGCATCGGGGGGCAAAGGGAATCCGATGCTCACGGAGGGCACCCCACGACCCCGCCGTCCCGGGCCCCTCTTCTGCCCGGTCCCGCACCAGGGGCGCCCGGTCCGCCACCTCCCCAACTTCCAGGCGCCCGCCTCCGCGGCCCCCGAGGATGGGCGCGAGCTCCACGTGCGCGCGGCCCATGACCACTCGGGCCGGGCCGGACCGGGCCACTCACCCGGCCCCCGGCAGCGCTCCGCTTCCTCCGCAGCGTGAGCCCGCTCCGCAGCAGCGCCGGCAGGTCCTTCAGCCGCGGCCGCAGCGGCGCCGGCGGCTGCTCGAGCTCCGGCTCGCGGACGCTGGGGCTGCGGCGAAGGGCGCTGTCCGCCGCCGCCACCGCCGCCGCGGCGGCCAGGGCCGGGCTCTCGCACGGCGGCTGCATCTTGACGGAGCCCACGGCCATCCTCATGCCCTGACGGCGGCTGCGGCGCCCGCGGCTCCTCTCCCCCGCACTCGCCTCCGCGCACCAGGCAGCGAGAGGGCGCGACTGCGGCTCGGGCGCGGGGCGCGCTGCCAGCCGCTGCCCATTGGCGCGCGCCTGGGCCCCCGCCGGGCTCAGCCCCGCGCGCCTCGCCCTCCCCGCCCAGGTGCGCCCGGCCCCGCCCCCTCCCGCGGTGTACCTCCGCCTGCGGACCTGGCCCCCTCTCGGCCGCTTCCGGAACCTTAGAGGGAGAGGGTAGGCCACCTTGGGCAGAGGCTCATCCATAGGTGCGGGGTTCCCAGAATCCTCCAGCAAACCCACTCGACTGCCCACCCCCGCCTCCCACCCCCAGTTCCCTTTAGACTGAAAAACCCCACTTCAGTCCCTTTTCCTAACAGCCAGGGTTGACTTGGACTTCGACCAAGTGAACTGGGAAGCCTGGGCCACTCCCTCCCCCTCAACCCCTTCTTGCTTCGTGCACGGCCTAGCCCCAAATCATAATCGCTATTCCTGGAAATGGTTTGTGCCAAAGAACTTCAAAATAGGCTCGGTATTCTGCTACAAGTCAAACACCATTGAGGCAGAATTGCCCCCCCCACCACACTGTCCTCTCTCGGGCACACTCATCATGAAAGGATAAGGGGAGAAAACTCGTGTCGGTTATGATGAGTATTTAGCAAAATAGATACAAGTCTGGTGACCCGAAGGTGAATCTCTGTGAACATGTTGGAACCTGACCTTCCCTGAAAGCCTGATGCATGTGATGAATGTGCTTGGTAAACTGTAAAGGCCTACCATGGTGTGAATCATTGTTTACACCATTCCAGAAGCCAGGAATAGTGAAACAGGGGGACGGAGCTATTCCAGGAGGCTTAAAATCCAAGTGGCTGTGAATCTTCATACCCCAGCTCAGTCTGTCTTTGACAAGGGCCAGCTAGGGCTTCTACTCCTTATTAGTAAGACACCGGGGTCTCCATCTTTGCCAAAGACTTGTAAGAACTGAATAAGCTTACCCACATTACAAAAATAAAACGGACAAATAAGGATTACAGGAGGTCAGGGCCCTGAGTTGTTTTACCATTGTACCCTCAGCCCCTCACTGGGTAAATGCTTCGCAAATATATGTGGAAATGTGACCATGTAAGGAAAAAGGAAGGATGACCTGTGACCTTTACGTACAAAGAACTTAAGATTTGGCCCTGCAGAAAATAAACATACAGAAAAGCAAAAGCATTACCTTGTACTCTTGGTAATTGCCAAGTGAGTGTGGATCAGCATTTTGAACCAAAGGAGCAAGAACTGCTTCTGGCCTGGGATAGGTGAGGAAAAGTCAGCAAAGGCAGTTTAAACGGTGCCTCAAAGTCCAGTGGGGAAGATTCAGCCGGGCAGAAGGGTGGGTGAGGGTCCTTCAAGTAAAGAGGAAAAACATCAGAACAATGCCAAAGTGGTATCACACAGAAACTCCTGGGTACTGGGTGTGTTATACTGGTGGGAAGTGTAATGAGGAAGCAGGAGAGAACTATCAGACGCACTGCACACAGGTGTGTGACACACTACAGAAAGCCTTAAAACCTAGCACCTTAAGCTGCGTGTGTTTAGTGGAAGAAACTCTGCAATAAACTCTATCGTCCATCACAGTTTCCAAATACTATCGCATTTATTTATTCAAGGCTGAAATCCCACTTGTGGGTACCATTGAAGACCGTACCCATTTATATAATGTTGAAATACTTCAGCTCCAGTTGGTAATTAGTCAATGCCTTGAGGCCCAGAATGCCAGCCACCCCAGACTCCTCCAGACTCCCCCTTGAAACACCAACTGAAGGACCAGCAGTCCTGGTCCGGTAGAGGCCCTCCAGGACACTTTTGGTCACCATTCACTCCAATTAGTGAGCAGGTGCTTGTGCCATCTCACTCCTGATGGTCCCTTTTGAATCACACCATAAACCTCTCCTGCTCCAAAATGGTACACACGTGTTCTGTCTCCCGGTCCAGATGCTTGGTCTTCCCTGTCTTTCACGCAGCTTCTCAATGCAAGACCAGGCAGTTTATCTCATAGATTCATTGGCATTGACCAAGGGTCTAAAACTCAATATCAATAAGGACCTTTGGAAAGTTGGCTTAGCTTAAGGTGATAAATGACAATTGCCATTCAGCCCCAGTATAAGGCAGACAACAAGGAATTGTAGGAACATGTAAACAGAAGAGCCATGCCACTATTCCGCTCAGATTAAGCAGTGTCCCACCCCAGGACCTTTGTACTTGCTGTACCCACTGCCTGGAATTCTCTTTCTCTGCAATGCTATCCAATAAAACTCTTTGCAATGCTGGAAATGTTCTAGAGGTGCTTTTTACCCACTCGCCACATTGAGCACTTGAAATGTGGCTAGTGTGTCTGAATAACTCAATTTTAAATTTTATTTAATTTGAATTAAAATAAATTTAGATAGCTACATGTGGCTTTAGGACGCTGTATGGGAAAACAAAGTTCTAGAAATCCATATTTCTCTTTCTCTACTCCACAAATTTTTTCACTGAAATATTTCAACGAGGCCTTCTATGACAACACCACTTAAAATTGTGGCCTTTGCATTCCAACTCTCTTCTGTCCCCTTCCTGGCCTTCCACAGAGCTTATTGACATTCAATATTCTATATATTTTACTTATTCATTTGTCTGTGTGGTCTGCCTCTCCTCACTAGAATGTAAGCTCCACAGGGGCCTGAATTTTATTTTCCTTTTCCAACCTATTAGTTGAGTAACTAAATTTGTTCATATATGAAAACGCAGTTTTGCAAAAGGAGCCTAATCTGGATTTTGCAAAATTGCAAAGTTAAAAAAAAAAATTGAGTACTATATATGCCAACATCACACAGGTCAAACAAAATGACTGTGCTGTTTGAGCCTATTTTTACTTAGGAGAATGCCATCAGCAAAGCTAAAGTTTATGGAAATACCTATGGTAAGAAAATATAAGTTTTATTGGCTGTTTGTACTGAAGGGAAATTGGAGACTAGGAAGGTGGCTCTGACAATTAGCTAGCTACACAGAGATGAGGGTCTGAACTTGTGGGGTCAGGGGCAACAGGAGGAGGTAAGGTGTCAGACATTACAAGAGAAAGCTCCTTAGGCTTTGGACACATGTTAGGAGGAGTGAAAAGATACGTCCAGCAGTGTTACAGATTGTATTTTACAAAGATGTAACCAACAACACAGTATTCCTATCACCCAACATCTTCTCCAATATGCTCTTGCAATACCCCCATGAAGATACCGTGTGTATTTCTCCATCGCCTTGAACCTGGGCAGGCTCTGGGACTACCTTAGCCGAAAGGATACAGCCGAGGTTACAGTGCCAGTTCTGTAAGTAGCCCTTAATCTGCCTCATAGCTTCTGCTTCCTGCTCTCTCCTGGAATGCTTGCTTCTTGGATGCTCCTACTCAGAACCCAGCTTCCTTGCCACCTGGAGAGTTCATGCAGAGATGCTCTGGCAGCTGATCTGCCATCCAGCACCCAGTCCAGCCGAGCCTTCCTATGACTGCTGTACTAACTGACATCAGACTGCAACCACGAGGGAGAGGCCAAAGCAAGAACGAACTATCCTGCAGAGCCCAAACAACCCACCAAACTATGAGAGAGAATAATAAATTGTTTTAAGCCACTGAGTTTAGAGGTATTTGTTACACAACAGTAGCACACATGGTTCCGAAAACTGTGAGAATGTAATCCCCTGTAATAAAAAGGAAGGAAATTTATATTTATATTTGTATGTGAGTGAAGAAACTTGAAATTTCTTGCAAGTAGCTGAAATTGGCTACCTGGGAAAGGAAAGATGGGAAATTTTTCATGCATGCATTTTTTGTTTTTCCTAAAACATGTGAATGTATTAGCTGTTAAAAATTATATTTAAAAAATGGTTCCAGATTTTGAGAAGTCATGAAGGTTGGGGGAGCTGATTTTGAGGGATTGTTTTACATAGCAGTTAAACTGACCAAACTAGTAAGCACCCAAGTGAAAATCTGACCAGTAAGAGCAGCTGGAGCTCCAGAGAATGGGCTAGAGATACAGATATCCCAGTGTCCAAAAATATGACCATAAAGGATGGAGCCGGCTATGGTGCTGAGGGGATAGAGGAGCAGCAGAGACAGTCTACCCCTTCTTAGGGTGGGCTCTGGGAGAACACACAGCAGATGACCTTACATTCCCAGTTGTATGGAATTTGGAACAGTGACTCTCGTGGATTTTCCTCCTTTATCTTTTGTGGTCTCATATGGTTATGAATACCAAGGAAAGCATCTACTAGCTGGGCTTTCCCTGGTGTTTTTCCATTCTCTGTGTACCTGCTTGTCTCTTGATAAATGTACAAAATGCATGTCTCCTAACACCACAGTTATCAGGATTTTGATGCCTACTCCTTGGAGTCCCTCCCTTCCCAACATCTTCTGTTTTTAATTTTTCTACCACTTAAGATATTTTGCATTGCCTTACCAGCTCTCAAAAACAGAAAACGGAAACACATATTTGTCTCCCTATTCAAGCCTACCAATACTTAAGTATGTAATGATCAGAGTGCACTGAATATGACCTTCCCAAGGACCAAGGACTTATGTTGAGCAGTGGGAGATCAGAAGGCAGATCTTAACACGAGAAACCTAATACCGCCCATACTGCCTCTACTGAGAATGCCAGATATAACTGCTTGCATACTGGATACTAACACTATTTTTAAATTTTCTTATGGAATGAATATGCAATAGGGAGAAATATAGCAAAATAAAGAAACATGCTTCAAACCTAAAAATATTAAGCCTTACTCGTTTTATTTTAGTTTCCGAGAATCATAAATAGAACTATCTGCCATCAAACTGTTCATGACAAACCTATGTGATACTGTGCTATTACTTTTGTAGTACATCATATCCTGTGCATCATGCAAATACTCCCCTCAGGGGATGATACCATTTTCCTCACACTATTTGCATTGGTGGCTCCAGCCAGAGACTGGCCCATAAAG